GTGGACATGTTTTATGAAATGTTTGAACAATATATTATGCATAATGCGATTTCCAATCTGTCCCTGACTCCTTTATTGTGACTACTCTGCTACTACTGATGTTGATTTTGATTGCTTTTCACTAGATTACGAATTACTGTTCCGATTTCGTTCACTAAAACTGGAGTCGCGGTTGTTTGGCTGGTAACAGTCTGTTGGATATTCATGCCGATTCTATAACTTTCGAACATTATTTAGAGCGATGAAAACAATTGTGATGGCCAAGGAGGAGCACTGAACAATCGTTCAGTTAATGAGTGCTTTTAGCTTACGTGCCGGGACCCTAACCGCGGGTTGCAAGTCAAGACCTTCAACGTTGAACCATATAGTCAACGGAAAACAAACCGGGCAGATGATTCAGGTTTTAAAGTTTGATCCGATTTCTCATAAGCACTTCATAAGATTTTTCAAAATATTTGTTCCTAGATTTTTCTGCATATGCGAGGTGCACCTAACTTGCCATAAAAAATAGTAATCGGACTGGACGAAAATCAGGAATCGCAATCGCAATGGAAATCGTGTTGCTAATCCAATGCCGAACTCACCCATCACGGAGACGCAGGAAGAGGAAGGCCCCATAAGTAGTGCTTACTTTACGGAAGGAAATCAACGTGGTAGAATAATAGTTACGAAGAAGTATCACTGGCTGAACCAGTATTGACCAATTGTAGTTCCTTTTCTTCCTAACACAAATCTTGTTTGAAGTAGGTGGATTGTGATTGGTAAGGAAAACCAGTTTACTGTTGATCGATCTAAAGCTGTATCAAGCCGCTCCGTCGATGACGATGTCACGGAACGTTAGATCACCACAGGAAATCACTGCGTGATCATCGGCAACCAAAACATCACACTTAATTATCTTGAGCGCTCTAAAATCAACTGTTTAACACGGAAGAACTGGGATGGAAGGACACATGCGATAGATTCTATAACGATTATCGGAAAAGGCGATTATGCTTGGGTAGGGAATTTAATGTTCTGTTATTCGATACTGCTAACCTATAGGAAATTAATAAAATTACTTTGCAATCACCTATAACCAGTAATTTTCACAGATATCGAAAGGCTCACATTCCAACCATCATCAGGAGGTACTGCCAGCTGATACGTGAGTTTACCCTTCAGCTACAGACACAAGCATCGGAATGCAATTTCGGTGATGAATTTGAAATATGGCTGCGTGGCCGATTAAATAGTTCGGTTCAGCTTAAGCAACCATTAACAAATGATCCGGGGTTATAAATACGACTGGTTCATTGTGATGTGTTGTGTGGTCTGAAATTGAAGGAGCGGAGGTTTTGTAGTTGTTCCGCGTTTTGAAAATGATCATATTTGAGGAGTTATGTGAGTTGCTCCATTTCCTGACTGTTTCCTTGGGTCATGCCAAAGATCACGATCTCTTCATTAGCCGTCAGAATTAGACCAGGATAAGCGGAGCGTCCGACAAATCGCCTCTGAGAACAAAGAGACGGATTGAGTAGATGAATGGCCACCGATTCAGCTGTAGTGAGGTGTCGCTGATGAACGGCTGTCCTCGTTTGTTTGGTGGCAGGCGTGTGCAAGTTTTTCCACTTCGGGACTTGTAATCCTTTTTTTCTGACCTTACTCAAACAGGTCAGCTTGTGCTCCTTGATTATTTTGCACAATTGCCCGAACGGTCTTTGTACATTATTTGCCGAATATGATTCAAGAGGTGAATAGTCACAGAGAAGATGAACAATGTATCCTTGATTTACGGAGGTGATCCGACGGTTAGTGAACTGTGCACGTTGCACTGCAGCGGGAAAAGCGCAAGCAATAACCTTTTGCAACTGACAATTATAATTTTGAAAAGGAAGATGTACGAAGAGCTCCTTTTTTCAATGTTGTCAGTGGTCTTGCCGGCCGCTGTTAAATTCTTTAGAACTAATCGTTCGAATAACCGTCATCCAAAACGTTTGTTTTCTATTTTCCAGCTCCTGATGTGCACGGTCTTCAGCACGAATCCTCTGTGAACGATATGCGAGAGTTTGAACTAAGTTGAACAAGTTTCAAAGGAAGGAAAGTGAAGAAATGAGAATATTGCTCGTTCGATGTTGATTCAAGGTAAACAGAGCGTTTTGCTGCACTTCTGTGGTACCTTGTGAGTTTTATATCCAGTAGGTTAAATGTATCTCATCGTTCCCATTCGGACGTGAAATTGACGGTGTGAGTACGTAGCTACGTGTCTGTCCGTTGCCTTTCAGATCTGGATTGTATTGTAAAATATCATCTACAGACGCAGACCGGAAATAGAGCAGCTCGCTCAATCCATCGACTGTGAACATTTCGAACCTCACAACAACAGCAATAAAATCCCTGGTACTTCAGTTGCATACCATACTTCACACAACAATCAACCATAAAGTCAGATCAATCTCCGAATATGAGATTTTTATACTCTGTTTTAGCCCGCGGAAGTTATCTTTTCCAAACAAAATATTAATGTAGACTGAAACTGTAAAATACTGAAGATGCACAAGTACCACCGTTCACGACAACCATATCACTGTTTCTAACTAGCGGTCATGTAGATCCCAAGCTTCACATCCAAACGTGGATGTGTATTGCTTGAAAAAATCCATCCCCATAATTTTATTCCTACAACCGTACGTTTTCTACATGCTCATATTTGGATTATTTATTTGATAAATACGGTCTCCAACTTGGGCCTTATATCATTCTTTCATTCTTCTGAGTTCTTCAAAGAACTGCGTTCATAGTTGGGATCTTTTCCGTGTTCTCTCAATGGAACCAAATCCTCATGCGTGCTTTCTGCCTTACCCGCTGCGTTTGCGGAACCGAATGGTCACCAAGTGTTTTGTCTTTTCAGTTGATCCAATGACGCAGGACGTGGGATAACCACGAATTCATCGAGAGTGCCTAATCGTAGTTTGAGCCGTTGTGTATGCACATGTACCTACTTCACATACTTTTCAATATTGTGAACGGTCACGAAAGTTGACGATTCATTTTTCATCTACCGCGATTCCTCATCAAGTCCTAATCAGTCACGTAAAGTTCCTTTGGCAGCATATCTTTAGAACATTCGCCATCATGAAGCATATTGACGTTCACAAGCCGATTGCTTTTCGTATTCTGCCATTTTTGGGCATACTCTATAACTGACTTTTTGCTCATACTGCCACTGTCTGCCAACATGGAAAAATTGTTTTGGTGACCACGAGGTTTTTGCACCATGTCAGATGAAGTTGGCATGTAAAGTCAAACTCCAAGTTCCGAAAATTTGTGCAAGAATGTGTCTGGCTTACGGTGACATAAGATGTGATTTGAGTTCCGGTTACTTTGGTACGAAAAATGCCAGCCACGCGGACGACTGTAGTCCACTCCTGCGTACAAGTAATCATCTATTCTTATTTTTCCCAACAACAGTGCTTCGTAAGGCTCATTACGGAGTGTACCATATATTATGAATAATACAACCGGTAACTGTTTGCCTCTATTTGGTCTTCTATTTCGGAATAATTTTACGCGGATCACGTCGATTCTGATTTACTTATTCCCATTTCGATCATGAAGCTTAACTCGGTTCGTTATTCATCTCCATCGGCACAAGGGACTTTGAGCACTGTATCCAATACTGTAAATGGCACAATCGCAGGGCAAATATGGATATTGGTTCCGACGGAATACCGAGGGTGAATCGAGTGGAGATCGTTTGGAAAATGGCACCAAATCTTAATCCTCCTAATGACCTAGTGCCTACGTACGACAAGCGTAGAGACTCATCAACTAAGTTTGTATACAACACACGAAATGATACGATACGCCGTCTGACAGAATATTTCTTTGTACAACGCGCTACAGCGTCCGTGAAGAATGAAGATAACAAGCAACCAGGCAATCGAGCATGTAGGAATGCTTTGTGTGATATATTTAGGATTTACAATCAATCTGGTTGACAGGTAACCAGTAATATCAAGAGGGACTTGATCCTCGACCAAATACGCGGCAGGTTAGATGGAATTTCTTATCACGTCTGAAAATAAGTGACAGAGAAACCGAACGGGAGATTAATGACCACATTTTGAGCGTGCAAATAATAATCACTGCTTCACACAAAATTATATACGAACATAACGTATGAACAAATCAGCAAGTATTTCTTCAGTATGATATGAGATGAGAGAAATGTGACATCTAGGTTTGCACAGCTTTGGGTAATCGAAAAAACTGTTATGAGTAATGGAAGAGAGAGAGAAACTATTTAAATGTTGGTGGTAAACTAAGTTGTGTATTTAATGCGTATTATTCCACGGGAGCTCTGAGATTAAACACCGGCTGTTATTTTGGTATTAGTAAATTCACCGTCTCCCCGGTTCTGAAAGCGGTCTCCTGATCTATGGACCACAGCACCATCTGGAGCAGGTTTCCCTATAAGGTTTACCTATTTTAAAGATCACTTCATACGAGGAGGGGGGATGGCGTATATGTTGCACTTCCGGCTGATTTACTCGTATACCACAGAGAAAGAGTCGAGGTTAGACGCAGAGTCCTAGATCATCGTGTTCACACATAGATAGACGATAGACTGCAATAGCTGGAGTATATAAGCACTTCACCGGATAGCTTTCCGTATATGTGCGGTGTTTTGCAGACTTATATAGCTTGCGACTGAATGAGAATCTTGACACAAAGACTTTATGTGTAAGTTTTGCTAGGTGGCAGGTTTGGGGACCTCTGAATGAGTATATTGAACGGTTAGGGGCACTTTCAGGTTCTCGATAAAATTCCGCACTTCATACGGCTTTAACGGCTGCATTTTTATTACCCATGAAAGCATCTGGGTATCCGGCAAACGCCATTCACAGACAACCTGTCTAATTGACGAACAAACACATCAAAAGGTCATATGAGCTATCAGCTGGAAAAGGATTAGGGAAATGTGTTTTACAACACACTCACAGCAAGGTCTAACATATTTAAGTGTTAAAAGAGCACAGAAAGTAAATTGGTAAAAAGTTGGTTACTTTGCCACGGCGACCACGACCACGTCCAGTCCTGGGTGAGGATTTTATCGGGGATGGAGAGTGAGTAGGAGCCGGAGATGCACCAGACTGCACGCGCTGACATCGTTTTGCACTAGAGGGTGAAGCCAAATCCGGAGCTAAAAGAAAATCAAATTGAAATTTTGAAATCCTTTTGTGCTTGCATTGAATAGAGCGCAAGACGACCGATAACGGGGAAAATTCGCATTTTTGAGGATTGCATTGCTCACCGATTGGAACCACATTGACAACAGAATATGGAATGTTCTGTGAGAATATTGATAGCTCAATCATGACCGAGTTGATGTGTAAAACAGCATAATGTCATGCGCACAGTAATTAAGTGGACTGGGTGCCTTCCATCATTATGGTTATAGTTCAAAAGGCTTTGTAATTGGTTGGTTAGAGACACTGAAGGACATGACAGCGAACTGACATCCGGAACGTTCTTGGGATTATTTTTTATCTAATAGTCACACTTTGTATACATTAGGAGTTCGGCAGTAATCAGCGAAGTTAGCCTCTTAGTACTATGACGAAGCTGCTAGCGATTTGTACACAGTCTAACTTTACTCCTGATTCTCAACAGAAAGCTAATCACGTACGGTATAAAATATAATCACTGCCTTCCCGCCAATGTGAGAGGACGAAAGCCCATATCCGGGGCCATAAACCACTGGCACTTTACCTAGCGGGGGGTTGGTTCAAACCCCATCTCAAACCAATCAAGAGGCGTATGAACCACACTCATTCACACCTTGGTTTGGGAAGTGGTCACCGGCTCAATCGGGCACCTTGAACTTTCGACCCCGTCTAAAGGGTGTATGATCCGACGTACTGGACACCACCCCGCTTCCTTGTGGGTCAGGCTTTAGATAGCCCAAGGCCTCAGTTGTAAAATCCTCAGGAATATTCACCTGCCTTGACCCGAGCAACGTGACAATACTCCGGCCACAAGCAACTTATGGAACGGTTTTCTGTTTATAAAGATTATTGTACCGTGATTTCCTTGGCACATAGTCTAAACTCAGGCGTGTGAAAATATAATAATATAGGGATTACGTTATACTCACACCATTATTATTATTACTAATACTACTACTACCACTGCAGTACGAGATAATTAAGCCATTTATCTGTCCTCCTACGGCCTCTGCAGTGCAGTGCAATTTGTACGCTAAAAACAGAAATAAAATGGGTGGATGACACGGGTCAATGGGGACAGGAATCTACTGAAGGCCCAAGGATTTTGTCATGAACCAGATTACCTGATGAATGTCAGAAGGGGCAGCATTCCCAGTCACAACGAATTATTGCATGATCCCAAAATCGATTATTTAAGTCCTGTAATTTGCAGAAGCGAGTGGCATCAGCCCCTCGCCCACCACATCCCACAAGTGGCTCTGAACGCGGGGGCCGTGAAGCGGTCCATCACTGGTTGGGTGACAGCAGCAGGGTACTAAACGGTGGTCTGGTGACTGCCAGTGACGAGAACTTACACTCCTTGGTCAATTGCTCAAAGCGGAAATACTGTGAAATCGAGAGTACTTGGAGGGCCATTTATGAGATAACTTTAGCTAAGAAGCCAGTTTCTCATTAAAAATTTGCCGGTGTGGACTAGTGGCGAACGCTAAAATGTGATATTCCCCACAATTTTAGACATTTTTGGATACCAACTTTTCCTATTGATAATTAAAACCAGTTTATGGTGGCAGCATTACAAATGCTTGCACATTCTTCAACTGTGAACTGAATTTTTCGAAAGTGAAGTTGATAAATCTAATAGGATGTAGTTAGGATCAAGCTTATTTGATAGCCACCGTGTTTGAGTGGATCGCTGTCACTATGTAGATGATACTCCACTTTGTCTGGAGGAAGCCATTTTACATATTCTGATTACTGGGACCAAAGGTTGAAATGAACGACCAAGTAGACCCTGATGCGCTCATCTGGTACTACAGGATTGGTTAGGATAGGGTGATCGCTTATCTGAGGAAAAAATGTTGATTAATTTGGATTCTTGTGGAATCGATGAAGCGATCAAATCTAATGAGATGAACGGACCCATCTTCACGTGGTCACAATTTAGATAACTGGAACGTTGGAGTCGAATCAGATCATCATATTTTAAAAAATACAGTTGATCAGATGATTTCATGCTATCAGACTGTGAAACCATCGCGAGCCTCAGCAGGACTGGAAACTGCACACGGACACCGAGTACATCTCTGCAAAGCATTAAATCTACCAAATGAGCTATGAGAGCACAAGTAACGCCCCAGTTTCTCAAATTTTTAGACGATGGATAGCTCCACGGCTCACTGCCGCAATTACATAGTACATATACATGACCGTCTGATCACATTTTTCTGCTTTGAGTTGTCATATAATGGTATGCGAAACGAAACTTGAGGAATGTAGAACAGAAGCCACAAATAGAGCTTACAACGAACTACCAGAATGTTAATGTGGGTGAACCAACACCTGAAAACATCCGTCAACTGTGAACTAAAAGGTTGTGAGTGCGTCTTTTGCTCTGCTGGATGGCACAGTGATTAAGTTCAAACACGGATCGAAATTCGGAGTGCTGATATGCAACTAAATCGGCAATGACTCGATTACGGGAAAGCAACACAAGCCGGTTAGACACTGTTGCATGTGGCGCGTAGACGAACGCTTAATGTCATCCAGTGGAACTTGACAGGCAGACAACTTTGCTCGGGACCCGTCTGGAATCGTCGAAAGGAAATTAGTGTTTGAGTGTGCCCATAAGTGTGTGCACTGAAATACACAAGCACATGTACGGGTGCGCGGATTGCGGGACGGGAGAATACGTGCGGGAACCAACTGACCATTGAAAGCGAGAGAAATGGATCAGACCAGGTGATCTTGTCATCGCATCCGGATCGCGCAGACAGATCCCAACCACCACCACCTTGTTCCACATCTCTAAGATGGAGTGAGGCGAAAGAGAAAACCTGAATATGCCTGCAGCCACAATCTGGATAGCAGTACAGAGTTAAGATACGTGCGTCTGTGTGCGTGTGTTTACGCGTCATTCGGTTCGCTTCAGACTTCGTCTCTCGAAACTAGTTTTTGAACTCTTCACCATGATGAGTCACTACTCTCGTACACACGCATACGCTAGTAATTTGAACGGTCAACCTATAGATCAGTTAAGGTACGTGACTAAACATGCAGAATTTAGTAACAGATAGAATGATGGTAACTGCGAGAGAGACGAAAAGATAACCATAGTGGGACTTAGTAGGCCAAATTAAATGGATTTTTGCTGCAGAGTTACTTACGAGGCGCAACAGTGTACCAAATGGTGAACAATGCGCTTCTGAATTCTGTCCGTAGTTGACGGAACGAAATTTGTTGGCTGAATCACAAAGTAGCAACCAGATGGTTGTTTGGAACGCGAAACACGTGGCGAACCCGAAACGCGTCACAAGAGAACCAACCAATCGTCAGTAACTGACCAAACCATAGCAGTGCCGAATCGGGGTGAAAATGGCTCATTTTATGGTCTATCAAGCCCCGGAATACCATAGAAAAATGATCGGTAAAGGATTTTAGCACACCATATCAACTAACATAAGTTCATGGAGATATAAACATATAATAAAGATTTGTACTGAACAGCCAAGAGGGAACAAAGGGGAAACTACGGACGCGTTCAGGTAATATAAGCCAAAGGGCACGGAAATTGGTTTCATTCAAAAGCTGGCTATACAACTTACCCATTCCCTAAACAAGCCTAGATAGATTACCAAAACCAAACTATAGATAGCGAAAAGCAAGGTGGCCACTGCCGAGACCAAAGAAAGTGATCCTTCATCAAGTGTAGGTTGGACGAGCTTTCTTAAAACATCGCGCACCTTAGGTGAATTGATGTTGCTCTACATTTGGGTTGAGGTGAAAAGAATTTGGAAAACTGTCTTTTAATTTTGGAAATCGGCAGTTCACTTTTGACAATCTGTGGCTTGCAAGCATATGGTGCAGCAAGCGCAAAACTGAAATGACAAATCATCATCAGTGAGTGTGCGGAAATCCATGAACGATCAATATGAATAAATACTCACATCACTACAAACGATGAAATGATGGATCGGACCAATAACGACACAATGTCACCATTATCGTAGTTAGCAAATAACTGATTGTGCAAACGAAAGTTTATGCTGTCCGTTCAAACTATCCCGCTTTTTGGCTGATGTAGTCGTAATTCAATCGGCGATACGGAACCCCATTTTTTGTTGCGGAATAACCGTAGAGAAACAATGAATGCAAACGGTATTTGAACACAGACATGTGCGTGTGAAAGAGACACTGAGGGAACAAACTCACTTGGCGGAATAGAGTCTGTATTTGAGGAAGCCGACGAAGTCCCCGCGTGTGCAGGATCAACCTCTTCGTCCGACTGAGCGGCATCGTCTGCAAGCTGTTTCGAGTTATTTTTCGAGGTGTGTTTACGCTTCCGAGATACTTTTCCTCGTTTCCCAGTCTGTGTCGAGGGTGACATGATCAATTAAATCAATAAAAGATCCCCTCAATTAATCCATTCTCATTCAGAACACATTGACAACTTCAATCGACGTTAGATTAAAAAAAAAACAAATATTTCTACGATCAGGTAGTGCAATCCTGATGAACATCACGTCCGGTGATGAAGCCGAAAAACACGTGTGTAGCAAAGTCCATTTAGATCAACATAGTTGAACTGTAAGGACCGACCGACAAGCAGAATCACTTCCAACACTGGTTATGAAACGGATTTTATGCAACACAATACTGAATAAGATCAATACCAACTGATAGCTGATATATACATATACATATACATATACATATATATATATATATATATATCCAGTAAGCAAGGCTAAAATTTCTCTGGTGCAAGGCGAGCAGTTGTCCGAGTTTCGTGTCAGTTGTGACGCTTAGTCAGTCCGGAATAGGTAGCTGAAAAACACTGCAAACTGTGTGTGTGTGTGTGTACATGGATACTGCACAACGCACATTGAAAAGATGAACAAGCATAGTCTCTTCTTTGGGTAGACGTGTTGCGCCTGCGAAACTGCTTATTTCGGCCGAAGAAAAGCTGGGGGTTAACTATCGTTGCTTTGAGGCTTGAAAGAGCTGAGTGCGAGTGACCGCAGCACAGTGGAAGTGACTGCGCGAATACCTCAGGTTCGGATGACATACGTCGCACAAAAAACCTTAGGCGCCGAAGTCAAATGACGTTGCGTACGTTGCAGTATAGTATAGTCAGGTCTGCTTTGCGGTCATGAGGTCTTAAGAAAATGGCCATGGAACGTATCAGTGAGGATGAAAAGCCGACATCCGGGGCTATAACCGGTTTGGTGGACCACTGGTAGTTCACCTAAGGGAAGTTGGCCAAAAACCCTGATTCCAAACCGACCATGAGGAGGCGTACGAACCATACACATAACTTCCTGGTTGTGGCAGTGATCACCGGCTCGATTGGGCATCAAGGTGTATTGGACACCTTGGAAGTGTGAAGGGTGAATGATCCGGTGAACTGGACACCGGTCCCCAATGGATTGCGGCTTTCGCACACCTCCCCGCTGCCTTGCGGGTCAGGCTTTGGCTAGCCAAAGGCTCCGGTTGTGGATTCCACAAGAAAATTCAGTTGCATTGGCCTGGGCAATCTGGCAGTATTCAGCTCACAAGGCAATCATGAAACGTTTTTCCTTTTTATTTGAAGATTATTGTACCATGATTTGCTTGGCACACAGTCTGTCCTCAGACAAGTGTGAAATATATATATATGGAGCAAATGAGTTGGCAACGCTGAGATAAGAGGTGAGTGCAAGAAATCCAAGTGGAGATCGATTCCAGGCATGGCGATTTGCACAAATGCATTGAGTAGAGTAAGGCGAGCAAAAACTTTTAAGTTCACCATATTTCTCTGCAATAAACCGTTAACTAATGATTGCATTTTGTATGACTCAGATGCAAATGACTACCTAGTAAGAAACCCGAACGAATTTCAATTACTACTCTTCTAATAAATGTTATTGGGAGTGCGAAACGCGATAAACCCTTAGTGCTGGGTGCGATTGTTAAAGCGCACTACGCAGCTTGCAATGTAATTGACACCAATCAATTATGGCTGAAATATAGTGGTAAAGCTCAGTTATACAAGATTAGTTAATGTTCATGTAGCTTTATTCTCGCACCTTGAGAAATACTGCTTTCCGGAAAAACCCGTTAGAAAACTCTATTCACTGCCTTCACGTTGCAGAAATGGTCCCCAAAGAAATTGAGAAGACAAATAGCCAACACGAGGGGCAACAATCGGGTCGACGAATCATCGGGAAGTAACCCGAAAGAGTTGGCAAAATGCCTGCTTCTAAACCAAACAAGAGGAGGCCGGCGAACTACAACCATACCTTATTGGTTCTGAGAATATTTACCAGTTTAACTGGACATCTAGGTGCATTGAACACCTTGGAAATCTGAAGCCCATCAAAGGGCGTATGATGCGATTTACTGACCACTGGCCATTAACGAATTACGCACTCTGACCTGCGGACGGTGTTCTAGTCAAATGCTTCGGGAGGTGATGGTGAAGATGTCACGGTTTTAAATCGAGAGTAACCGGAAAAAATGCAAACGAAGTTGTGACACTTTATTAAATTTCCGTGAAACTGGTAACCGGATTTTTCAGCAAAAGACAAATCGATTTAGTTCATAATTTTTGAGAGCACGTCAACTTATGGCAATGTGTTTCAAAAAAGCATTCCAAACTTCCAACTTTTGTGGTTTGGCAAACGAAAGAAGGAGACTATTTTTAACATCGGGCTGAAGCAGCTTCGAATTTTAGACCATTCAACAATCTTCGTCGTACGGTAAACATTGTTTAACCTTAAGAATCTCATGGTGCAACATCCGAGGTTTCGTATTGCCACAAGTGCATCTTGAAACGCCTTAATCGGATTCAGTGATTGAACAGATCACTAGCGACGGACAATCCGAACACAGTTTACAACACAAATAATGTCAATTAGGGGATTTTGGTGCCAATCGGAGTCTTGACTGAGCATGAAAAACAGATGAATTAGGAGGTTAAGCGAACGTGCAAAATGCACATCACTTCGGTGACCAGATTAAAAAGTCGTGCTCATAACTAAAACAAAAAAGTGGAGGTACGAAAATAATACCTCGTTGCGAAGGATGACCACTTCGTCCGGATCGAAAGTCTGGGCTTCGGTGGGGTCGGTAGTTGACCCATTGGTGGACAGAGATTCTGAGTTGGGTTCGGATTTTACAACCGCGTTGCAACTGGTAATCGTGATCGGAGCCGGTTGCGTATTTGATGGAGAATTTTGGGGAGTATACAAGTCCAATTTGATCAGAGTATCCGCTGGAAAAAAGAACAGTGTAAAGAACTGGTGCGAATAGAAAGAGGTGCTGAACATAATTCGAAAAAAAGAAATACGAAATTTCTATGAGCTTGAATCTAGATGACTTATCTCTCAGAAAATCCTGTGCCAGTAAACTGAACACGCACCCGAAAGTTCGACAAAAACAGGCAAGTTAACGACCTCTTGGTCTGGAAATCCTACAGTATACCGTTAGACCAAAGGAATTAAGCTACAGGAATCGGTAACAAACAGCAGGTTACGAAAAGCGACGAAACAACTGGGAAGCACTGAACATGTTTTATTTCTCTAATGGTAATGCATACTGTAGAATTCTCTCCCGCGTTTCTCTGTTCAAAGATTAAACTGAGTTGTTGCTTTTTACATAAGCCGTTTTGTGACGGCTCTGTTTGCAATGATTTTGTGGGACATCTGTTTCGTCCTCTCCGGAACTCGACAGCGGTGTGCATTACTTGTCCCCTGAGCGGGAGACTGCGAACTTCCGCTTTTGGAATTGAAGGCACTCGAACTACGGCCCACAATTTGAGCCCTTCCTAAGGAATTCATTTAGTCTCCATAAGTGAAAAGCAACCCAATCATGGGAGAAATAATTTCTCGATTTATTTCAGTTACTTACAAGTAGTATTTTTGTGGTGACCGACAACCGCACAGATCGGGAGCAAGAAATCTGGTTTCCAATCTGGAAGTTTGCGGTTGGAGCCTCAGGAATGTGCAGAAAAAACACTATTGAGAAGTCTCAACAAGAGTGACACTGTTGTCCAGTGCTCTCTTAGTCATCACACACAAACACTTTTATCGGAAATAAATCGCATTCATAATGCGAAAATTAAACGGGTTTTGAAGGAGAGAAGCCCATATCCACACCCATAAATTGCCCCAAGTCAATAAGATCAAAATGCAGAATTTTAAAGAAATTCTTTCACTGAATTTCAAAAATCACAGATTGTGTCCTTTTGTGGTGACATCTGGTTTAAAAAAGCAGGGTCGAATGAGGTGAGCGGATCAGGAAATAGCCGAAGGGTCCTGTTTAGAAATATTACACCAGAAAAAGTAGTCACAAAAATGGTTATGAGGGTTGCGCTGAGTGAATACGAATCATCGGATTTAATTAGCCAGCGGTGTGACATTTGTACATGTTTAATTCTTTCATCGTTACTATTGACTGTT